TATATTTTTTTTTTATAACTGGCTGATATTATAAAGCAAAAAGCTCTAATTCCATTCCAGTCATCCGCTAAAGTTTCATTCTGTTGCATCTCTTTGCAGGATCCTAAGTTATTGTGTGTTGCCTACTCTGCTGTTGGGAAGCTCTCCAGGTATAACTAACCTCCCGTAATTTTACCGCTATTTAAAATCAAGCAAAATAAAAATTATTTATGTTATTTGTTTCAGTCGCATGCCTCAGCTTTTCACAAAGGACATTGCTCTTGTGCAGCAGTTTTTTGAGTCCATGTGTAAGGTTAGTCGAATACATTTAGTAAAAGTCGGAGATAAACTCTTTAGGACTTTAGTTTGATCGTATACCTGCTCTCACAGGAGGAGCCAGATGTTCGCCTCGCCATTCAAGAAGCTTTATCCATGATGGTAGGAGCTTATGCAAACCTGCAGGGCGCTCTGCTGAACCTAATGGAAGCCCTGGTGGCTGCATACATTTCAAAGGTAAGTATACCTCAACAAGAATAGAAGGGGGTTGGATTCACTTAGTTTAGTAAGCTAAAACTTGCCGCTTGTTGTTCTGCTACAGCCGGAGGTGCAGGTTCGACAGGTGGCCATGAAGTTTGCCAGTACGGTGTTTGCTCCAGACCACGTCCCATCCAGATACCTGCTGCTGTTAGCTGCTGGAGACCCGTAAGTTCGAACTATCACAATGGATTTTATGGAACTATTTAGAACTCGGAGAAAGTTACTGGATAGATTGAAATGAGTGTGTCTGGTTTATTTTGGTGCTCTGTAAGATTGATTTATTCTCTGTGTTGTAGGAGGGAGGAAGTGTCTGCAGAAGCACAAAGGGTGCTGAGGGGTTTTCCTTCAAAGAACTCCGAGAAGGAGGGATCAAAGCCAATGCCGTCCTTCAATGACATGGTCTCCTACATCCAGGAAAAAGTGGGTCTCAGCCCGTCATACAAACACCCCTAGACTCTCACCCAGTGACTCTCTGTACTCTTGTATTTTTCACAGGCAGCTCAGAGGATTAAAACCCCTGCAAAGTATATTGTGGGAACCTCCACAATTCCATTTAACCCATCTGCATTTGGAGAGGTAAATCACAATAAAGTTTTTTAACTGGATAAAACCATAGGAGTCGTCTTCTTACAGCATTTCTTGTGCTCTTTTTAGATCATGTTGTACCTGAGGATGTGTCTGGCTCACAGTGCCGGTGCCAGGCCCATGTCCACCCGCTTGTTGGACATGCAGGACGATGCTCCTGCTATCGGGCGCTATGTCCACTCTCTGCTCTCAGCTGAACCTGTGCCAAAGGGCCTGGAGGCGAATCCTGTACATGTTTATATGGATCTTCTGCAGCAGCTTCTCTCTGCTGTGGGAGGTGAGATATTTGATTAGGACTAGGATGGGTAATGAAAGGTGTTATTCATACCAAAAACATGTTTATTTTTATGTTTTTGTCTGATTTTTTTTTTCTCTAAACTAACTTTGGTTGCTTGAACACAACCAATGTCATTATTCACTCCCTCTTAGTTTGTTATATTTCCGTTCTTTCCAAACCTAAATATAACAA